TTTTGTTTTTTTTTTATTATTTTGAATTGGAAATTAAATGTAAGCAACTCGACGGCAGAGAAAAAAATCAACGACAACGAATCGAAAGCAAATGAACAGAAAAATGTTTCTTGTGACTTATTCACGATGCAAATATGCTTTATGGTTTTGGTTGTGTTCGTTTGACATATTTTTCTGCAAAGCGATATTTCGTTGCAGCAAAAAAAAAAAAACAGTAACTGTCGCTGAAAAGAAGAAGAAACGGCGTGCAAGAAAATCATGAAAACCGATCATGGTTAATTTGAGTATTGTAAATCGGCCCATGAAAACGAAGATGAGAACGCGACATATTTGACTAAAAACGAGCTCAATGACTGTTGACTTTAACCTTTTCCGTTCGTGTATCAAGTTTATTCTTGCGCGCGGTTTCGTCGAAGAGAAAAATTCACGAGAATTTTTTAAATTTTCCATTGTAGTCTGTGTATATCTGTGTAAATGTGTGATTGCCGTCATTGGCGCTCATGAGAAAGCGCAAATCATTTAGATCATATTGTACAATCTTTGTCGCATCTTGTTTGTCGATACGATTTGGATCTGGTGATGCGCTTTGGCGCACAGATTTTTCTGCTATAAAAGTTCGGAATAATTCATCGATAGTTAGCTTCTGTCGGGTCATTAGAAAGTTTTGTGGCTCTCGTAAAAATCCGTGATTGGAATCAATTTCGGTTTATTTTACCATTTAAACCGGCATTATTATGAGTTTTTTCTTCTTCTTCTCTCTCTCTCTCGGTCTCTTAAACTCTGTCGATCTCTTCATTTAGCTATTGTTACAATGTTTAGTTCAAAAATGTGATCTGAAATGACAATAAGCGCCGTAAGCATCATACAATACACTGAGAAGAAAGATTGTTTTCACACCATTATCACGTGTAATTGAGATATTAAGCTACGTTTTCTTATGGCAAAAAATTCTTCAATTGAACAATAAATCATTATCACTATTGAACAGTTTGCGTATCAAATTGAAGATGAAAAAATTAAACGATAGACAGCACACATATCGAAAAATGTAAACGAAAGGCGGACGTTGAATGCCAAAAATAGAAGTAGAAAGGTAGTTGCATTCACATTGCATTTTGCACCATAGCTTGCCATACTTCCACTCTAAATGCAATCAAAGTGTTAAATTATGACCATATGAGTGAAAACTCAATTGATTCTATCTTTTTTTTTTTGTTTTGCGAATATTTCGTTCGTCATGCCGCATTCATGTGCATTATTGAGTCCCAAGTTTTAAATGTTCAGCCAATTTATTGAGACTCTTCGGTTATTTTTATCTTTGTGATTTCATCATGTTGTTGAATTTTGCGCATCATCGCACTCGTAAATAACGACCAATGAAAATGAAAACGAAATTCAAGTCTCATTACAGTTTGTGCGTTGTTTTTTCGCCTCTTTTCTCCATGATTGAAAGGAAAAAGTGAATGCAATTAAATTTTTTCTTGCTTCTTTTCGTTGTTAAAGTCACATAGAAAATATCATCAGGTTCATCGATGAACATACCGTAAATGAACGCGTGTTGCAAAAGCTGCTTGTTTTTTTAATGATGATTAGATCTCAACAATGTTTCTAAATATAGATAAACGATACAGAGAGAGAGAGAGAGATTGGCGAGTGCATAAATTTTATGCATTAGCGTATATCAACATAGAAGCATTATAAACACTGGCTTCCCTCTCTCATCCGGTGCACGCGTGAAGTGAACACTAATGTACATGTCTCTCAAGTGATCGTTTTCACATCGTATCATCGATCGTTACCATTAACCATTCCGATATGAATCGTTTGATATTGAACCGTGCGAAAATTCATCAATATGCTGCTGCTGCAACCATACCAACTTTCTTTTACAAAAATCTGTCGAACACATGTGCCATATTATGAAATGTTGAATGTAAAAATGTCTGCATTTTGAAATGAAAGACGACGAAGAAAAGACAATATTATAATGCGATGCTGTGAGGAATTGTTCCGATTGTAGAAATGCATCGTGTCATAAATGCCCAAAGCAAGTATTTTGCAATATGGTTAAACTGTCGAAGTAAAATGGACTTTAACAACTTGATAATAAAACAATTTGAAAAGACGATGAAGAAAAGAAGACGAGCTGAAAAGGCTTCAAAGAAAGATAAAACGAAAAATTGTCGAATATGTGTGTGTGTGCAACACTTTTATTGCTGGTGCATTATGTTGTTGCTGACAGTGGTTTGTGCTCATTTCACGCAACGCTCATCCATTGCTGTACAAATGGCTTAAACACTTAGTTTGGGCTTGCGCGTGATTAATTTCCTTAAAAATCGCGTAATCAACAAAAAAGTACGATAAAATAAATGAACAAAATTTATCGAATTTAATTCCGCATACGAAAAACTAAAGGAAACAACAACAATCACGAATTAAAAAAAATCACAACGTAGAAAATATACACATACACACACACGAACACACCAAGACATTAACGAGCTACATTGCGCGCTTTGTTGTGCATTGAAAATGCCGACATGATTTTTACCACCGGCGCAGCAAAATCGGTTGTCTCGTAAACAACGTGCACACCATCCAACGTCGCAGGTTCACAAAAATTGTGAACAAAATGTGGAACGTCTTCTGTGAACGCGCTCACGCTAAAATACTTGGGTCAATTTACGATTAACGTAATAAAACGTAATTGTAAATATTTCTGCACTGTTGCCATCAAAGCAAATAAAGATTCGCACACACAAAGATGGCATGTAAACAAGCAGGCAGCCGTTCAGCCGTCTTGGCTGCTTACTCATTTTTTTCTCGATGATTCTCGGGCCAATTTTCGAGTTCGAGCAGCGTATGAGCGTTGCTGCCTTTTCCTGATTTCAATGCGTTTCACATTCGGTGTGTGCTTCTTTGTTTTTACGAAAGAAAAACGCGTGCTCAATCGAAGCAATTTATGCACCTTATTATGATTATTTATGTGATTTAAAATAAAAACCCATTATTTTAATCTTAAACCGCGGCAAGCAAACCAAAAAAAAATAATAACAACAACAATTACAAGAGAAAAACAAAGCACACGAAAAAAAAATTCACTCGCGCGCAATCAATTCAACAGAAACAGAAAATGATTTTCAGAGCCGTGAAGCCACTTTTACTTAAATTTTCTTCCGAGACGTGCAATCATGTTACGTAATATGCATCGATGCATTCCGAAGCGAAACCAAACTCATTTACACTGATGACTATCACGTACATATAGAGTTTTGCACAGCTATTTATACACATAAATTATATTTCAATTGAAATGTATGAGGGGTGTTTGTAATGTTCTTGTCGATATGTTTTTAATAAGTGACGGAAAAAAATAGAGAACAAAAAAAAAACTAACGACTAAGAATAAAAAGAATCTCGGCAAATCATTATCATGTGAATTGAGGCGATTTGCTTTTATAGCAGTGAATTCATTGCAATGTGTTCACTCACTCAGCTCAAACTCTGGTTTGTGCCTTCTTCGGAATTTTTTTTCAGTTCTTTCGTTTTCATTACATTTTGTAATTACGCCAATGAATATGCACATATCTATTGTGAAAGAAAGAAGGCAACAGAGTGGCGCGTGCAATGGCATATGTCCGTATGCGTGTCATTTCATGTGAAGTAGGTACATCTTAACAACGAATCAAAGTTTTAAAACAATAAAAAAAAGGTTCCTTTGGGTTCTTTTTTCTCGTTCGTTAGATTGTTCATTCGAAAATGGTAAATTGTCAAGCAATTGACATAGAACGAGTCAAGAAATTCTTTCCGAGAATGTATCCGTTGAAATTGTTTCCAGCTGTGTGTATTGTGTATATGTGTGTGTTCTTTTTCTATGGCATTCCAACTGAGCAAATATAGAATTACCATGTCACAAAAATAAAATAATCAGTTTTACAATCATCTCATTGCTGCGAGAATTATGCACCGAGATTCACAAGAACACATTTTCGAAAGTAACACGGAAAGCGCGTCAGATGAAGAGAAAAACATGAAAGAGATCGGGATGGAGATGCAGTGCAAAAAAGAACACACACACACACAAAGATCACGGCTGTATCAAATGACAGGCGCTTATTTTTAGGCCTTAAAGTGATATTTTTCCACACATTATCATTTGGCGTCTAAACACACAATCCCAGCGTTTCTCGTTTTTTCCAATTTTTTGTTTTTTTTTTTTTTTTTGCATCACAACCAACTGATATTAAGCAGTTAATTAATTGCTTAATTGTTTACGACCGCATATTCGCATTTCCAAAATACATAAAAATCAATTACACCTTTCCGATGTTGTTGTTGTTGCTGTTATTTGCCAAATGCTCAAGTTTCATGTTTATTTTTCAAGATTAATTCGAATTGAACATTTGTTGACTGTAAATTAAGCAAAATACATTTTGGAATAGTCAGCAAGTGCTAACGATGCGATCTAGTCTAATGCAACGCGTGCTTCTTTCTCTCTTGTCTTCACATTCTCTATAATGTTAACCAAATCATGACACAAAACAAGCACCATGTTCACATTCTCACATAAAATGAAACGAAAATGCATATTTTGCATGCATAAAAAAAACTAGTAAGCAATGCACATCACATTACACTCAAATGGATTGCATTCGTTGAAAGCAACACAACAACAAAAATATATATATGGATACAAACCATGCCAACGATGAAAAAGAAGAATGAAACAGCTTACAAGCATACACAACAAAAATAAAACGATTAGAACATGTACAAATTTGTTATGGGAAAATTGCAATGTATTCCATTCACCAATCAATTGAAGAACATTTACGCATGTAATGTCATTCATCTATGCGTGTGCTGCTAATTGCATTTTAATTTCTCTTTGTTTTGTTTACCTTGGGTTCGACACAACATCTAATGCAAATCGCTTTTTTTCGGTTGTAAACTGTGTCGCCGCTAAGGAAATGAATCAAAAAATAAATGAAAATAAGTAATTTCAATACGACAGACGATCTTACCAAAACAAATATTGGTATTGTTTAAACTTTATTCGCAATTATATTTCAAATTCGTACAGATGGAAGTTTTGCTTTGAATAAAATAGATACTTGAAATTTGTTGGTTTATGGCTTCAGAAATATCTACATATATCTATGTACCAATTATGTCAAACTAAATTCATCTAAAACAATCTACACTTATGTAGATTTACACTATTTTTCTTAGTTAAATAGAAAGAAAATATGAATCACTTAGAATAAATCATCATTACTAAATAAATGTCTTCAAATGCGTTACTGAAAAAAGTCAGTCAGCAAAAGCGTTATAAAATATATGGACGATGTCACGCTTTTGTTGGCGAACTTTTGTATATAACGCGTCACATACAGTTTTTGACACTATTGCTGACGTACTTTTTTCTATAACGCATTTGAAGACATTTATCTAGTAATGCTGATTTATTCTATGCGGTTCATATGTGTAATATTTTCTGTGTCGCAGGATTAACATGGATGAAAGATCATAAAATACAACTGGCTTAGAATGTCCATATATAAAATAAATGAAATTTCTAAATCATTAGAATTTATATTTTTAACATTTAAAGCCGATATTACGAAATAGATGCGATACAATTTAAGAAATTAAAAATAATGCATATCATCGTAGTGGAAAATATTATATCATGCAATAACGAAAAAAATTGTCCATTTATCAATATCTACAGCAGCCATAGCTGCGGTTTCGAAGTGATTGTTTATAAAGCCAGTTGTATTATATGAATGAGCGTTTACTTAGCGATTAAAGTTAATGTATCATAATTATTGAAAAAAGTATAATTCATGTAAAAAGATGAAAGAAGATGTTCCGTGTTGAAACGGACTTTACTTTTTGTTCTTCTTTAAAAATGCGGTGATTAAATTGGGGCAATTAATACCATTCTCTGGTTCCCAAGTGTCTTCGGAGGCCTTGCAACCCTTCCATCGGATCAAGTATTCTTTTTTGCCGGCGCGTTTGCGGAAATTAATGATTTTCTCAACCTCCCATTCTTTTTTATCTTCACCATCATCTTCTTCGTCATTATTTTCATCGTCACTTAAACTTTTGCGTGATTTTTTGGCTTTGGATGCCTTCGGTGTTGTACTTGCGGTTCTTTTATTGGATTTATTTGTTGATCGGCATGAATCACGGAATTTCTCGATCAATTCATAGCAATCAACGGATTTTTCCGTTTCCCATGAATTGTCTGATTCGGGCCAACCCTTCCATTTTACCAAAAAGTATCGAACATTGTATTCAATTTTTTCGCCGACAATTTTCTCCACTTCGTATTCCTCGTTATCGGTTTTGTTGCTTTCGTATGCCTTTATAATTTCCGGGCATGACAATGATGATTTTGGTTCCCATGTATCGTCTTTGGCGCCCCAACCCTTCCAGCGAATGCGATAGTATTTTTTACCATTACGGAGTTCATCGTCGATGATTTTTTGTACTTCATATTCTTGTTTTTTTGCTGGTTTGCTCGGTCCTTTTTTCGGTCGGCCTCTCTTCGATTTTTTCTTATCAACCGAATCAGCGCTATCACTCTCAAGCGGATCATCGATAATAGCCTTACGTTCGGCGGCCGTACGTTTTGGTGTGTGTCGCGTTGGTTCCTTTGTTGGTAACGATATGCGTACCTTTAATGAAATGCCATTTTTGTTTTGTGAAAATTTGTCATCATTCCATCTACAGGGTCTAACCATATATACATTAAATTTACTGACCTTCTTTTCCTTCTTCTCTTTGACAACGGTTACCGCATCTGGATGTTCAGCCACATAGCGTTCAATAATTTCTGGACATGATAAATTGTTCTCCAATTCCCATGTATCATCGTCTTCACCAAAATTCTTCCAACGAATTTTAAAATATTTCTTTTTTCCTTTGAATTTATGATCAACGATGTCTTCAACTTCGTAACCATCTTCGCCGCCATTTTCAGTCTCTACAGCGTCACCATTGGTTTCAGTTTTTTCATTTTCATTTTTTGACGCGTCATTTTCATTGTCATTTTCGGTATCAGAATCAGGCAGTGGTGATGGAACTTTACCATTTGAACGGCTCTCGTCGGCTTTTGAACTTAATAGTACATCGAACGGATCGGCCGAACCTGATAATGGATCACCATTTCCAACTTCGGGAGCATCATTTGTTGATGTCTCAGCGGAACGACGGTGCAAATGATCTTTTCGCATGTTTTTAGTTTGTCGTAAGCTACAAAAACAACACAAAATATGATTTTCAGTGAATAAAATCGTTTAAAAATAATATTGTTTAATCATTTAATTTATTATAAATAATATTAACACTTACAATTTTCTTTTTGATGAAACCGTTTGAAAATGATAGTTTCTGCACTTTATTTTTCAAAACAAATTAGTTTGATGATGCCAAACACAGTGTCCAAATGTGAATAAAAGGTAGAAATGGCGCCGATTTTCGCTTGTTGTTGCTTATGCCTATCATTAGAGCATCAATGCATACATTTGCATTTTGCAAAGTTGTCAGCAATGGATTTTAACGTTAAAAAAAAACCGGTAAGTCGTTTGAAAAATACCGGTATTTTTTATAATAAATTGCGTATAATACAATAATTTTTGTTTGCGTTATTTAGAAAAAAAAGAACAATATCACTTTTAATTTCCTTGCATATTAAAAAGTTTTTTAAAACATTTAAATAATAAATAATCTAAAATTTAATTTGTTCTTTCTGGCAACACTTGTATTATTTGAATGCCGCACTGTCGAAGTTCGCTTGATAATTCAAAACACATATGGTGGTCTCTTTCTCTCCACATAGTGTTTACTGTACTTGAAACAGTTTAACAAACATCTTATCGATCCAGACAGTCAGTATGAAACCAACTTCACACCGTATCGCACAACCAATCGAAACGCACTACGTTTGACAGTGATTCAATTGCTGCTCTTAGTCTTTGTATATTTATCCACCTTATTTTTTCTTTAAATTAAAAATCTAAAATGATTGTATCAGTAGATAAATTGGTAATTTTTATTTGTGCATTTATTCAATGTCTAAATCTTTCAGTTGGTAAGTGACTTTTTTTAAGTTTTAACTATTTCATTAAAAGATGTCTATGTTTTTCATATGTGTTGTAATCTGATTGGTTGACGTGGTTCAAGTGACACGAGAATAATCAACTTTGAGTTTCTATCTTCGAATTCAATGAAATCTTATGAAAACATTTAATAACATAAACTTAATATGATTTTTTTTTTTAATTTTAGCATCACACGCCACGCAATTTGTGACATATGGCTCAGTTCTTAAAATATTGAACACTGATTATAATGTTCGTTTACATTCACATGATGTAAAATACGGAACAGGATCTGGCCAACAATCAATTACCGGAACCGAATTGAAAGAGGATATCAACAGTCATTGGACCATTTTGAATTTAACAAGCGCATCTTATCAACGCGGGTAAGATAAAACATACCAAAAACCAGCTGAACACTCCTATTAATCTCAAAATACTGGTTTTTATTCAGGCAACCCGTGAAATGTGGCGATACTATTCGTTTACAACATTTGTCAACCAAAAAGAACCTGCACTCACACCACTTCCAAAGTCCATTGTCTGGAAATCAGGAAATCTCATGCTATGGCGAAGACGGTAATTATTATTTAAAAAAAATCCGGTTTAATTTTTTTGTATATATTAAGATTTTTGGTTTTATTTGCAGGTGTTGGAGATAGCGGGGATAATTGGAAAGTCATTTGCTCTGACGATGTTTGGAATCGTTCAAATTCGGTGAAATTTCAACACATCGATACAGACGCCTATCTATCTGTGAGTGGGCGAACATTTGGCAGGTAAGAGTTTTTTTCCTCTCGGGCACATTTTAAGCAATGAACAATTCTAATTGTTTGTATGTTTAATATTAGACCAATCAATGGCCAAATGGAAATAGTCGGAGTTACAAATAGCTACAAATCAACGGAGTGGAAAGCAGCCGAAGGTATTTTTGTGCATCCAAGTCAACAACCACTCAAGAAACACGATGAACTTTAAATCTGTCAAGATTTGATCATTTTGGGGCATTGCTTCATATGTACAAACATAGTTTGCTTACTGATTTTCCGCATATCGAAGCAAACACTTAAATTTTAGTTAAATTATAATGAAAAGAATATTATATTATATGCAAATGTCGAGTGTGATTTGTGAACTTGTAAATGTAACCAAAAACAAACTGAAAACATCATTTGACTCTCAATACTGATTTCACAATGTGCATGTGATACAATAGAATTTGCGTTCCATGAAATAAAATGAATATAATGAAACAGAGTAAACTCATGAGTTTTTCCATGTTTTTTTTTTTCAATAGGGATGGATGACTTTGATATCTGTAAAACCGTTGAAAACGTTGGAAAATTTATTTGAATAGTTTTACAATTTCGGTGGCATTCAATTCCTGCCCTTCACTTAATGAATATTATTAAATATAAATTGTAATTTCAGGCTCATATATTCCAATTTGTTTTTCTTTACAATTCGTCTATTGCAATGGGTCTTGTAACATGTTATCTTCATGACACCTTGAATGTAAGCTGAGGAAGAGAAAATTTGAACATATGTTCATCGAATTAATGGACTCATACACTGAAACTCGCATTTAATACATAAACAGGAAAACATTGACGTTCTCGAAACCAATTCGAAGATGAACACACAAAAAAAAATGAAAACAATTCCAAATACTCAACAGCACAACATACACATACACATACAACAATATGTAACATACAAAGTGAGAGATATGAAGTACGCATGTCTTTTTCCGTCACTTTTCATACGTTTGAAGCCCAATGTCAGGCAATAGACACCAATACATGCACGAATGGGAAAAATTTCACCACCAAAAAGATAACCGTATTACATATCGTGTATTCCACATTTTATGTGAGCCATAGTATGATAATTTTCGAGCACAAGTCGTCACAAATTGAAGTGCAGTGAAAGTGAACGGAATCTGTCATGGACACACCAGTAGCATGATTATCATTATTTTTTAAAATCATAAATCGAAAATTTACACAAGATCTAATCGTTGAAAATGATTTGCAATAAAAATGAGTAAATTCAAACGTTAGTTCATTTAAAACATAATAAAATATCAAATCACATCACGTTTTAGTTTGTTTTTATTGTGAAGTGATCAATAGTAAATCACGATAACGAACGAATTGAACAAGAAAATCAAGTGAATGATGGTGTCAATCAATTAAGTTTTCCACATCATTTTTTTAAACACATTTGTTTTTGTTAATTTTTTTTCGAATCAAAAACAAAAATCTCTTGCTCATTTGCAATTCTACCTTTTTTGAGAATTTATCGATTTATAAATATTTTATAGACATTCATCAAAAATCTTGTCACGCTTGGTGAAAATTGATTTGTTTATAATTCCGTTGAAAAAAAATGGTCATTCATGTCAATTAGAATTTTATGCGAGAAAAATAAAGTCGCACACAAAACGTACAGACTCTGATAGACTTGATTATTCAATACCATTTTTATACAAAAGTTTTTAGTTAAAATTCAAGAACAAAAAGAGAAAACAAACCCAATTAAACGCAAAAATCATTTGCACCGTTGAATTCGTCAATTATTTTGTTTTCGTGTTGAATGCGTGTTCGTTAAAATCGAATTTGTTCACGTCAAGTGCTTAATTCTAAAGAAAATTAATTTGTATCGACAACTGGTCGGATGGTCGTCAAGGTGTCGTAAAGTATATATTTGTGTGAGAGGGTTGGAGTTATCAGAAAAGCAGGAATTTACACATCAATCAACCATAAAATGTAAGTACAGTATTAACCCTCTTTCCAATTTTATGTATTCGCTTTTGTCTTATCATTTCTAACGGACTTCATGTGAAGTGCGAACATTTCAAATGCGTAATGGAACATTTAATTGTGCGAATGATTTTCGTGTGTAAGGAAATTGTTGTTTTATTTCATCGTTAATAATGATAATTGTTGTTGAAAGTGGATTAATTTCATATTTTTCGAGGGTTGTTTGCAAATATATTGTTCCAAAAGTTTGTTGACAAATGCATGATAAGTTACGATGTTATCTGGTTGAGATATAAAAAGTTTAGTTTGGATGTCAATTAACTTAACGACAATTTATGATATGATTTTGACATTCACGGATGATAGAATCGATTGTGGTATCGATTTTTTTCTTCTTCTCTCTCTTCAATAAATAAAAACAAATAAATAACACATAGATGTTGTGATAAAATGTCTATCAATATAATTCGATGGTAAAAATATAAGATGTTTGGTTCGTAGTAAATGGAAAAATTGTTTAAATAACATTGCAGCAGAAGAAGTTTGAACGGAAAGTAGCTTTAGCAACAACATCAACAAAAGCAATCAACACACGAACGTACGTTCTCTGCGAAAGTCGCTGCTTCTCTTTTTTTCTGATTCAACTTTATCCAAGTGTCCTTCAAAAGAACATTGAATACTTGTACACAAGCATGCACACAGACAATCGTCATCGTATCTATATTATATGAATATATACGCATACCACCTTACGTTCGTTGTATATATTTTTGAATGTTGTCGATTTTAACTGAGATCGTCCAATATCGGTGGTTTCTTCTTGTGTTTGTATTGCTTCTATATATATGTGTGTGTGTCTGTGTGGTGAAAAAACAACACAGAATTTTCATTCGTTTTCATTGAATTTTCTCGCATTGTACCCTCTATTTTCCGTAATTGCTTTTCATATGAAGCAATAGCAACAGACACAAAAAAACGAAACTTCGGAAATCGAAAAATATTTATGACTTGTATCCGTTCGCGCCTCAACATTTTATTGGCAAAACTAAAAAAAATGTGACCAAAAATATATCAAATAAAATAGAGAGAGAATTTTTTTTGGGTAATTTTTAAGGGTTTCAATGCATGCACACCAAATTGATATTCAACCGAATACAGTTTGTATTTCATTTTGTGGTTTCAATAAAAGGTATCACTTCAAAATGACTGGAACAGTTGTATTGTCATTCATACGATGTGGAGAGAGAAAGCGACGGAGAAATAAGTTCACATTCATCCTTGGGCTCGGTTCATATTTTTCATTTGTTCTCTAACGAATTTTACTTGAACCATTATCAAAATATCATTTGATCCGTTTTTCGGTTGTGTCACTGTGGCAAGTGTTTTTATACGCCAACATCTACGAATGTTCAACCACTGCTATATGCCCATGCCGTCTTTCTGTTAAATTTCTATTTGGACAAGCTTTGAATGATTCGAAAACACGGTTTGTGTGTATGTGCGTATTTTGCACAAACGAGTGCGATGACAATATTTTGAGAGATGAGCACGGATTTTATACAAGAAACGACTGTAAGTTATGACAAAAAAGGACAATGTTTGACGTTTTTCGATTCTCTTTTGCTCGGCAAAATTTTCGAAGCAGTATAAAATGTCGTGCAGTTTCTACAAGGATCGATGTAAACAGAAAGCAATTTTATTACACAAACAAAAAAGTTTTTTAATTTTCTGTATTTTATATAAACAATATATAAATCTCACGTCATCCACTCTAAGCTAAACGAATCCCTTTTGGTAATCAGAATTGAAAGACGGTTTGGTATATAGAGCGCATAGCTCTTTGTGTGTTACAAACTCAACGTAACACTGAATTCAATTAGTTTTAAAATATGATTGCAGCCATTGAAAATACAGCTCCCCAAAAATAATAATTATGACGAAAGGGTTTTGATATTTTCCGTTCAATTTTTCGGTTGAATTTCGAAAACTCGATGCTATTATAGATGAAAATATAAAGTGTCTGATCAATACTTAGAGCAGAGCTAGCGCTTAGAAAGAGCTGACTAATCCATGGTTGGTATAAAGAAAAAAAATCTGGCATTCCCATTTCTATTATATGTATCGAAAATTCACAGTTCATTACCGTTAATTAAACTTAATAAAATATGTGTGATTTGCTACTGTACGGCCTCTTGAACGTAATCTCAGCCAAAGTGAGCCAAATTGATGTTGAATAATACACAATATACACTTTTTTCTTCCATTTTCCCCGAATTGTGTTCAAGTAAAGCGTTGTCATGCCAAAATGAAAAACATTCGCTCATTCTTGAGCCTAGCAAATTAATGAAAAATGATATACAGATAACGAACAGAGATAATGACCATACCTTTGGTGTGAAAAGCTTAATGCATGATGCGAACATTGCCGAAAGGAGAAAAAAAAGCAGCGAAATTGAAAATTGGAAAAATGAAAAAAGAGAACAAAAAACGAACGAAAACTGGGTTGACACGCGTGGGTGCGTGTAAAAGTGTCGATGCCTTTCATTATGTTTATATATGCGACACAATATCGATACCAACAATGATAAGTTACGAAATGACGAAAGAAGAAAAGTAAAAGAAAAAAATCGAATCGTGAAAATCAACAACAACAGTCAACAACAGTTTAAGAGTAAATGAAAGAATAACAAATTCAGAGTATATTCTTATATGTGCAAGGCAATGAACGCAAACATGTTTGTTTGTTGAAAGAGCACATAGATAATTGTGTCGGTGCAAAAGTTTGTGTGCTAGCCAAAAAAAAATGCCAAAGAAAACTAAGAACGACACCAACGAATCAATAATGTTCATTTAGTCGGATCGCCTGGTGCGTAGTTTCAAGCACAGAAAAAGAAGGTTGAAAGAAATCGAAACATATCGTCCATGCGTGTAACCTCAAGAGTATGTATAAGGAAAAATCAACTTTTTTCCTAATTTGATACAATCTTCTCTCTCTCTCTCTCTATTTTCTTTCAGCTGTTTGATATCAGACTAACGTTGGTTCAATTCCATCAAAATTCTTCCACAGCTTTTTTTCCACATTCATTTATGCGAAGCGTGCGTATTAATTTGTCGTTGACGCGTTCTCTCTCTCTGTGTGTGTATTCTGCATGGACGTGTTTTTCCCTCTTTCAATTTTCACACACCATTTTCTTCTCGCTGAGCAAGAGCTTTTGCATTACCAAATAAAAAAATCGTTGAGGCATTGGCTGGTGCGTATACGTGAAACCCTATGTGCGTGTACATTGTACCACTGCGTATTATATAATCGACGAAGAGCTATGCGTAGATATTGAACCGAAAGAAAAGACAACAACTACAACAATTTTATGTTGAAACCATAGCGAATAAGAGAGACCCAAACGAGAGAGAATATATGGTATAAAAAATGGTTTGTTCGCCTGAAAGCACAGCATATACAACTTGTAAAATGCCTCTTTCTCTTTCGATCATGTCTTTGCCTCGCATCTATTTGGTCGTTCTTTATTGTTGCAAAGAAAGAAAAAAACCAAACTGGATGGAGTGTGAGCCTGTTTTCAAAACTTTTATCTGATACGAACAACGTTGATATGTAAATATATACTATGTATAAATGTTTGTATATATTTGCATTGTGTACTGAGATATGGGAATATTGCATGACCGTTAGATGACTGTTATGTTGTTGTTGTTTTTATTGCTGCTGTTACTAATCATTCGAAACGCAATTTTTGATGAGCATTTCATTTGTTATGGTTTTTCTCGTAGCTGCAAACGTTGCTACTAGTCGTAGCAACAGCAGTAGAAGCAGCGACCGCAGAGGTAAAGGGAACAGCAAAAGCTTTTTGCTCCTGTGTATTATTCGACGTCGACTCCGTTGCTACTATTGCTTGATTTGATGGTCGATGTGCGTTGTGAAGCGTATAAGATGGGTTAGGCACAAGTCAGCGATAAGAGTGTAAAACTATGAAATAGACAAGGGATAAGTACTTTTCGTAGGCCATGGAACAATCGAAAAATCTATATTTCGTTAGTTGGTCCCGAAAACTTGATGTGCGCCTTATATGAATATCATCGTTGTGTGTTGAGTGTTTGTTGTGTGCGCGGATGTGTATGTTGTGTATATGAATACGCGCACAATATACATATTATAATGCACATGGATGATGATAAGTCTTCGTTAGATGTTTGTTGAGTGCGATTGTGTATATTTAGGTAAATGTGCTTTATTTCTCTTCTGTTCGATGTTCTTCTATATATTTCGGATAAAATACTTGTTCCAAGCACAGATATTTTACGCGTTATATAAATTTCTTCAAATGTATGTGAGTGACTTTTTTTTATGTGTTCCACATTTGTTGTTGTTGTCATTATTTTTTGTTTGTCGGAGGTTTTTTTTTCATTTTGTTGCCCTTATCACAAGAGACCGAGACATTTTTCGTGCGAAATGCTTCTACGTTTCGTCTTGTGATTTGATTCGTTAAATGTGCTTTGAATGCCACTATATATTTGGGTTTACGTGTTTGTGGGGGAGGTCAGTGATATGTGTACGACGCATTCATCAACATTTGATACGCACAATAGACCCGAAATTCTCTCCCTGTCGTGAATAAAAAGTAAAAGAAAAGCATCAAAATGCTTGTGAATGTAATAAAAAGAGTGCTCCCAGTTGATTGTAGATTCGATTCGTTTTTTTCTCTTGATATCATCTATTTTACTTGGAAACATTTAAGGCGTCATTTTTGGCACTCACGTTTTCCAATTTTTTCCCACGCACACATTGTTGATGTTTTCTCTGTTGTCGTTTTGGTTAGAAATATTTTTCTTTGCGTGCGGTCAGTTGTAAATAAGCTATCTTACTGTGGAGAATGGAAAAAGTAGGAAAAAACGAAGAAAATGGATTCGCTTGTTTTGTATGTGTCCACCTCATGCCATTTCGGATGGTCGATATTATTGGGAATTCAAGTCACTTTTACACACGGATTTCGATCGTCGAGTTTTTATTTTGTTGATTGTTTTCGCCTAACAGCCACACAGAATTTTCCGACTGATATTTATTGTGGCTATCAACGATTGATCAATATTTATGTCGTAGATAGTAACACAAAAAAAATCAAAATTGATTTGGTCGATGTGTTTTTTCCGTTCGCTATCGTACATAGGATACTCGGTTAGATGGAATTTCCCGGTGTTTTTGATTTCTATTTTTCTCCTCACAGAATCACATTTGTTTTTCTCATTACAGAAAAATATTCCACAGATAAATGACATACATATTATTTCCAACATGCTCAATGTATCTGTGTCCTCTTTTTCTGCTATCTAATTTACAATCTGCTTTTTCTCATTTTTATTTCTGCTCTCTCTTTTTTTTCTTTTATGCAGGTTCGTACTCGTATGTGTAACTATCGATGTATTTATGTGATTGGCTAAATGGATTTTATTATACTATATTATCGTAAAATGCAAAATTAATGGCTAATATCATTATATTAATCAATGTGCTATTTATTGATACTAAAGATTATAATTACTTTGCTGCGAACATTAACTTTAGCCCATCTTCCGTACTCCAAATGCTCTTTTTTTACTATTTTCCACATATTATTACACAAAATATACCAAAGTACTATCTGGACATCCTCTATTCAATATGTTATCCAGTTGCAAATGTAATTTTCAATATATAAAATATGCTTTCCGTTTGACTTTATACTCAAAACTTAATCTCTTTTTTCACATTATATGACAATATTTTTTATGATTTGTTCGTCTTCAATATACTTTATTATCGCTATAACTCTAACAGTAAGTTTTGCAAAGAGAAAAACTCCATAATATGCATATACATATATCTATCTATGATTGCCGATTTATTTTGATCTATCTATTCTATCTATGCATTCTGTCACTCCTTTTTGCTTCAAAATGTCTTAACGGTAATATATTTCACAATCTTTTATTTTTCATTTGTCATTTGTGCTCTCAATCGATTCAGCTCGGCTTTTATTCCGATACTCTTTTTTTCTGTCTCTTTATTCATTGGTTTTGGTTTTTGCAATTTTGCTTCGCAATCTTTTCTCTTCCTTTTCATTTTTCTGTGCTTTTATTCGATGGCTCGTGTCTTACATTATGCAACAATTCATGAAGCGTTAAACAAATCTCCCCTTTTTTTCTGTGAGAGCATAGCAACAAGAATTTCAATGGGCACCATAAATCTATGGAATAATAGCTTCTTATCTGAAGATTGCATAAACTTTTGTGGTCGAGCTTATGCCATTCACACTCGGAACATATTACAATAAAAGCACCACTGAGTTTATTAAACAATGCAAATTATGGTTTGAATAAAAAAAGAATCCATGGAAAATCCATTTGGAAGAATAATTAAACGAAGAAGACAACAAATACCACATTCCATTGTGTATTTCGCATCAATTTGAGTAGCGCAAATGGCAACATTTTAATCAACTTTCACATTCAATTTCGTGTTTTTTTTTTTTTTTGACAAGAAACCGTTAATAATCTACAACGTAATTCACATTTGGATTTTGGCCATCATCAACACGGTCAACCACTTGAAAAATTGAACGAAAATGTATGGCTTTTCTATTGTCAGCGTGTATGAATGCATAGATGAGATTCGCTTCTAATTTTCACGCTTCTCAAAATTCTGAATAGCTTTGACCGTAGAATAGAATATGGAATATGCTTCAAATTTAACTAATACTCTATTTACAAGAATATAACAATATCGCCAAAAAAAGTCCCTTTAGTCGCACCAACAAAACTACTAATAAGCTAGAAATATAGTTGAATAAATTAAACAACAATATACAATTTTAAAATTGAAACAAACAAACAAGAAAGCATAAAATTGACAAATTTTCTCATTAGTTTCACAAAAAAAAAAAAAAAAAAAAAAACAAATTAGAAAATGTGCTTTTTAAACATTTCATTTTATTTGTATTTGAATTTCTTTTTTTCGTTTCTTTTTTTCCTTTCTCCAAATTATTCAGCATATCGATTTGAAATAAGATTTTTTTAAAAATGAACTAAAATGCCAAAGAAGTAGATATTTGAAAAAAATCAAGCTACGATTCGTTGTCAATTATTCAAATTCAATTAGAAAACTAAGAGAAACTTCTATGCCAAAAAAGCGAACAAAACAACGCAAACCAGTTTAATTCAATTTCAATTCAGATGACATCAATTTCGAAACGAAAAGAGCTTTGAAACTTCCTCAATATTTCAATTATTTTTCTCATTTTTTATCGTACACAAAGATCCACCTTTAACTTACCTTATTCTATGCGTAAATCTATCATCCTTTGACGGAAACACAAAAGAAAGTAACAAAAACGTATCAAAAATTAAACAAACAAAAAAAAAACTCAACAAATAAACGGTGAACATATCTATCTACAACGGTTGAATATATCATTTAATTCACTCTATTTCGATTTTTCGATCTCAAAATAATAATAAATGCGCTGAAGCAAATGTGTTTCCGAAATCAAATCCACTGAAACTGAAATCACCCACAAGAGACCAAAAAACCTCTCTACTTCAATCATAGAATCTTTTTTGTTCGTTCTCTTGAGAAAACTTCCTCACGCTGAAATAAAAAAAGAAACAACAACAACACAGAAACAAAACAAACGCCGAACAATCAATCAACGAACAGAGAAGATAAAAACAAAATGTCATCGTCACGTGATTGTTCACCAAAACAAGGCTCATTTAGCGAATCGCCGAGTCATCTAACGCGCAAAAAGTATACAATTAGTAAAATAATGAGTGGAGGTTCGGCAGCCAGTAGTAATATAAGTGGTGGCAGTGGAACAGCCATCAATACATTCTTTCCCGAAGAATCATCATTCGATTCGGCGAACGATGATGGTATATTGGCACAACAACAACATTCCACCACCACGTCATCCGGCAGCCCAACGGCTCTATCCATTTTTAGCAGTATAACATCGTCATCATCTTCAAAAGGTGCAAATGCAATGCCACCAGCGGGCTCAGGAGTTGGGAGACAACGTTCATTGCGCGATCGTCTCAAAGAAGGCATCACCGGCAGTTTTACATGGCAGTAAGTTGATATTGAATTTGATGTCTTTTTCGCCCCCTCCAAAAAAAAAGAAAGTTTCGTCATTTTTGTTTTGTCTCATCTCTCTTTTTGAATATCAATTGTAAACATTTCACAACTTGATTTCGTTTTGTCAGTCTCACAAATACACGCTCTTTTTTCTCAACCATTTTTTATGTATAAAACTCTTTTTAAATCTCTGCCATTCGTTCTTACACATTTGAGTTTTGTGGTCTTGTCTTTTGTTTTTGTTTTTCAATCAACGAATTTTTTTTGGAGTTTTCACCCTCTTTTGTACTTTTTTTCGGTATTCAAAACACATATGGTTTTTTTCTCTTTATACATTTTCTTTTTGCACTGGTATAGTTGTAGCAAATCCATTCGGTTTTTCGATTCGAATAATCGGATTGTTGTTGTTGTTTATGAACATTCTACATATTTGACCGCTCCTAATCAAAGAATGTTATCGTAGGCATTTTGTTTGCACAATATTTGCATGAATTGCACACAAACATACAAATGTTTAACTATATAAATAAGCAGTTTTGCAACTGAATCATATGCCACAAACAAATATAACCTTTAAACTGAAAACTTATTCGGGTACAGCTGAACCAGGTAGGTGGATATCGAAATAATGGATTTTACAGTGTAAGTAATGTTATGGTCGAGCAAATTTGGTAGCAAATGTTTGGTATGTTTTTGGGGGGATTTCGATTTCGACGAAAAAATTTCATAAAGTTCACGTGCACATAAACATGTTTGTGAATTTAACATTATTTTAGTCGTTAACCTACGCATTCAGCTGAAGCTGCAAATATAAGGAAAATCAATTGATATAGAAATATTGACATCGAAACAAATGAAATGTGCACCTGGAGAGATGAAAATGATGCAAGTTGAGAGCAAAAAAGATTATAACTTTGTACAAAGTCTGCAAATACCATGTTTATCTAAACTCTTGTTATTAATTTGTAAAAGTTTATTTGAATTTGGTGAACGATGTGAACACATTAGCCAATTTCAAAGACACACACACTCGACATTGGTAGACAATATATTGAATTGAAGCTTTTCTCCATGGTTTCCACACAATGCGTTTCAAATGTAAACACTTTAAACATTGAAATGGCGTGCAATATTGAAGCAAAAAAACACCATCTTCTATTTATTTCCCAGCAGAAATGCTTCCATTTCAAGACCAAACACAGATAGAATTCTCATCGGTTTGAGACAGTTTGTTGTTGTTATGTTCATTTTAAGTGCAAAAAAAACGTTTTAGATGTGTAAAGATTTCATTTACTCGAATTGCTGTTTTTGTTTGAGACACAATTTTATATATATTTCGAATCCATTAACTGCACGTGCTTTTCATTGACGACATGGATTTCGAAGCAATTAAACGTTTTGAGTGCTACTTAAAACCGAAATGTTTCATTATTTATAGAAATAACTTTGGAGCATAAACACAGGCGTAATATTAGGATTCTGTTTTTTTTTTTGTATGCAGGAAAACTAAAATTGGTTGGCTTATACGGTAATTAAGAAACAACGAATATCAACAAAAACGACCGATTACTATATACCTCTGAAAAAAATACTAATTTTGTGTCGAGATATGTGCCCGAGTATCACTTGCGTTGTATATTGACAATGTATTTGAACGCGACTCGATTTAAGAAGCGCCATCTCTTTCACGCCAGGTTCTAATATATTTTTTTCGTGCAAATAAAATTGCAAAATTGTATAAATTGAATAAGTTTTGCAATAATAATAACGAAAATAATTAATAGAATTTATAATAAATAAAAAAAATTGAAAAAACACACAAATATTTTATATTATATGATTCACCAGAATAGCTTCACTTCGTGTTATTTACGTTGTTTCTTTTGACAGGTATGAATGTTTGACAAATACATATTTTCTCCACGTAACCATCTCTACATGGTCTACAAGGAAAAGTCTACAAGGCAAAGCTACATATCATATAATATAAAATATTTGTGTGTTTTTTTCAATTTTTTTTATTTATTATAAATTCTATTAATTATTTTCGTTATTATTATTGCAAAACTTATTCAATTTATACAATTTTGCAAGAAAAAAATATTTGCAAGAAAAAAATATATGAGAACCTGGCGTGAAAGAGATGGCGCTTCTTAAATCGAGTCGCGTTGAAAGCCGACTGTAAGTGATACTCGTATGTGCCTTAATGATTACATATTATAGAAGATTTCCAGTTGAAAGGTTGATATGAAAGAGGGAAAAACTTGAATGTGTGTCATGCGGAGAAAAAGCGAGTTCAGAAAGCTATCAGTGCCGCGTTGATAAGCCATGTATACGGTTTTTTTTCAGTTTTAAAATTAAACACATCATCACATGAAGAGTCGTCAGATTTGATTGAAAACATAAGACAAATCTCGTGCTACATTGAGCTAAGCAATTCATTGCGTGCAATAGCAAAAAAAACGCGACACTCGCCCGAAGTTAAATTGCATTTGGAAAAATTCCAAAGTGCGCGAATGACCCGAAATGTCAAATATGTATAATAGCTGAAATGATAACGTGATTGAAACTCGTGAGTTGTGCCGCGCGACTAGCGTTCGCACAAACAATCGATTCAATGCAACTGAATTGAACTCTTGAAATGAGTGATAGGAAAATGCAAAATGTAAGCGAAAAGTGTTTGTTATTATTTTTTTGTTGTTGCATATTTCAGAAATGTAAACACGGCTGAGTTGATAGCGGTTATTTTGTCAAGACAGTGCCATTAATTTGTTTTGATCGATTCACAATGTGTTCGTTTGGGCACATGATGAGACTCGCATTTCATTTAAATTTGTACGAAGGATCATTTTTAGCCGTTTTCGATATGCGCTTCTTAATTTAACGAAAATTGATTATGAATTACTATTTGGATTTGCAATCATTGATTGATACGCGCATCACAATAAATATCGCATACGTTTGAGAACTACCTACTACCATACTACTGTATAAGTCAGTTAATTTTTTTCAAAACATTTTTCATCCGCCAAGTAAATAACGACGCCGCTATCATGTTTGATGATAAGCATGTGATTATATGTAAATTTATTTTGAGTTAGTTTTGTGTATTTTTTTCGGTATGCCTATCATTGCAGCCAGCCAAATTTGACGAGGGCACTGTTCACATTGAGTTTTAAATAAACAAAACACTTTTCGTACTTCGCATTTATGTTTTGTTTACAATGAAAGTCAAGCGATACGTATATTTGTTCTTTTTTTTTCAATTCAGCACGCTATAAAATCGGCAGATGTATTTTACTGGCATTTTTGCCACGATTGGAAATCATTTCCTACTGTAACGTAAAAAATTCGGATTTAAACCGAAAAAAAATACACTGAACAATAATTGAAACACAGAAATCACAATTGCACACTATCAAAATAAATGCTGAATTCTACGTTGTAGAATTATTGATGTTCAAAGATTATGTTCTCTCTGTGTGCATATAACCCGAAAAGTAATTTTCGCATTGTGTGGATGCATATATTGGTCTAGCTCGAGATAATTCGTGTTATTATTTATTTTGTTTCATTTCGCCGCTTCAAAAAGGTTTTAGATATAGATTATACTGATAGATTTTGTTTTATTTGGTTTTTTTTTTGTTCGGTAGCTCGACGTGCTTGGCATTCAAAACTCATTAATGTTCGCACGTATACCGTATCCACATCGCACATATTATCAAATGGATGCGTGATACCACTTTGTGTTGTTTATCACGATATATATTTATACTGTGTTTGATAAATATCGCAAACACAACAAAAATACCAATTGCCAAATGATATGATATCTTAAGCTCTTTCTTCGTACTCTTAGTATTCTTCTTAATCCATTATGATCATTGTTTTGGGGTTTGTGTTTGCAAACCCGAGCGCTCGCTCTCTTCTACCGGCTCTCTATCTCTCGATTTATTTGTTCACTTAATACGTTCCGTGTTGAAATACACTAGCTGTACTAGCTAGTCCCTGTTTTTTTGCGATTTATTTTCGCATCAAAGCTTTTAATGACATGGATTTTATCGATTCCCATAGTTTTTTTTAGCGCCGACTTTTTGTTTGTGAACGTGGTTTTGTTTTGTTTTTTTAATAACACACCCTAAGCTGCATATTTTTTCCTCGTTCCTTAATGCCTGTTTTTTATGATATGGTTTCATAACGTTTACATACAAAAAAAAATGTCATACACGATAGGACTATGATAAGGTGCCATATTTCATTTTTGCACAAACGACATACACATTGTGACTGAATTAGCTTCCAGCTTTTTACACTAAACAAATAATGTCTACTACTTGAACGAATTGAAACGAGGAAAAAATAAACAGCGACAAAAAAAAGGAAGAGGGCCATAATAATTGTGTTTATCTTACTTGTTCAGTAGTTTTGGCCGTTTGAATTGGCAAGAGTAAGAATAAAAAGCGGAATCAAAATGTTCAAAACAAATAGCAATCAACAAAAAGGAGCCACCAACTGGAAGAAAATTCAATTTCAAAAACTCTGTCTACCTAGACGGGAATTTAAGCAGTGAAACACATTTAATATTCAATTCATATTACGCGTATTGAATAACAAGACACACACTGACACATGCTCCACATTGTCTATGGCTTTATTTCAAATTTTGATAAGCAATTTCCATTTATTTCAATTTCACGCGAGCTAAATAAAAACAAACGGCTCGATCTATTAATTCAAATAAACACGCGACTCATTGAAACCCATTATTTGTGAACGCAAGCAAACCGGAAGAAAATAAAATAAAATTGAAATAAATAAGCATGGAAAATTTATAACGATACATACAGCGATTGGCATTCTGAAAAAAGTCAGTGCCGAACTGATATGACTCAATTCCATTTTTGCTATCAATCATACTTATTTATGGTGTCCGATAATCGACGGTAATTTGGAAACTTTTTATTTTGATTCACATCCAAAATGTTTGCGTTGAT